AGTGACCTATAGCAATCAGCTCTTTAACAGGCTGCACAAAAGACTGTTGAAATGCAGAGCTTCTGAATTTAATATGAGCAAATAAAGTGATATTTACCCACTCCTCCAAAAGGCAGAGAATTGAGAGTGAAGTGCATGATGACATCATTGCCTGTCACACCACCGCTGGATGTCTCGTCAATCATCCGTTTGATGAGCTAAGGAATAGACCAAAGGCATCCAGGTCAGTGACACTTGCATCTCAGGGAGTGCTCAGAGCTCCTCATAGGTAGGACCGTGTGGAAGGGAAACACATTCTTTACCTGCCAGCAGGAGTTCTTGAGTCTAGGGACACCATGCCAATTGGATAAAAACAAACTACACTGTGGTTAACTTAGCAAACATGTTGATATCTAACTTCTCGGACACATATCAAGTACAGGTTGGGCATCCTAATCTGAAGAGCAGAAGTGAAATGCTCCAAACTTTTTAAGTGACAATATGACACTGCAAGTAGACAATTCCATGCTATGAAACTCTTTCAAACACAGAATTACTAAAAACACTGCATAAATTATCTGTAGGCTATTTGTATATGAAACATAAATGAATTCTGTGTTCAGACTTGGGTCCCATCCCTAAGATATCTCATTATGCATATGCAAATATTCCAAAATCTAAAAAAAATTAATAACATAAAACATTTCTGGTTCCCAGTGCTTCAACTATACATTGCAGGAGGCACCCCTGAACTTTCTTGGAGCCTGTTCACTTGATTGCCACATAGACTTAATTCTCTACAAAACAGGAGCAAAAGGCTTTTATAACAGACAGTTCAGATTATATCCCACTTTTTAAAAATTATTTCTCTCTAAAATCTTTGGATTTCTAGAAATTAAAATCCAAAGATCTAAAAATATCTGCTCTAAATTGTAGCATACAATTAAAATGTATTAATCTTTATGAAATGCAAGATATTTAAGATTTTAAGTTTAGCATCCTATTTTTGAAGAAGTAAATGGTTGGCTGGCCTAAGATCCAAAAAAGGACATGACATTATACTAGCATCATTTCACCTGAGTGCTGACAAGCCCTTGAGAGTTCTTCGTGGCAGATGTCAAATATGGGCTGTAGTGACCTCAGGTGACCCAGGGCTCCCCACTCAGCTGCACCCTGGCCAAGAGACTTTAGGTTTCAGAGTTCCCACTCACCACATTATCTATCCATGTTCATTCAAAATGACAGATCATTGTTCTGTGAATAACTCAGTCTTCTCTGGGCTCTGCATATTGGTCTCACTTCAAATATCTATAGCTATTGGTGTCTCGTTAGCATCATAAGCTCCAGAAGCTGTCACAGAAAAACTGCTATTTTTTACCAGCAGAACTATCCAGAACATACCTGGCTTATGAACTCCTCAGACTGACTGGTCCCATCTTCCCCCTTTTTCTTTTCCCACTTCTTCAGAGAGTACCTAAGCCTATTTGCCCACAAAGAGGCCACTGATTTTTAGCAGTAGCCCATTACCCAGAGACACAAATGAGAGAGCCATGCAGAAAGTGGCACAGATACTGGACTACAAGGTATGGGTTCCCCATTCTAACAAAAAAGAAATTTAATTTGAGAAACTGAAATCCAAAGTATTACAATTATTTATATGATGGTGCCAAAGGTCTGTGTCCTACCTAGCCTCATCTGAGTGGCTATGAATGCCATTTCGGTTACAAGGACAGGTTCTCATACAGCAATGCCTGGAAGATTAGTGTCACAAAAGCACTAAATGTTAGTACTTATAAGTTTTCCAATTATACAGGTGTTTGTGAGTCAAAATGACTCATGACACTCACTCCTGTGGACTCAGATCTAACCCCAGGGAGCAGGGGAAGGATGCAGGGATAACCCCAGGGCCTCATCACCCAAAACAACAAGCTATGAATATGAACTCATTTGGTGGACTTTGATATACAATAAACATAACAGTCATTCATGATAGTGAGCTGTTTTTTTCATAAAGTTAACCTTGTTGTTATGAGAAAATATATACAGCGCCAGGGGCTTTTCACGTTCATTTATGAAATTTATGGCTTCATCTGCATTTTTCACAGGCACTATTGGAAGAACTGGTCCAAAAATTTCTTCTTGCATCACTCTGGTTTCAGGATCAACATCAGTAAGTACTGTTGGGGCTAAAGAGAAAATAAACAAAATGAAAATGTTAAAGTAGAAGACAAAAATGCAAAACTCTCATCTTACTTTTATTTCACTGAGTCACCTACCCATACCTTTCTCTCTCTCCCACCCAAGTCATATCTACTGGGGAAAAAAAAAAGTCCTCTTATCATGTGCCAGCCCTGGTTTTGTGACAGAACTGTGCAATTAAGAATCTTCAGAGCAAGTGGACCAGGATTCTTATGCAAACCAAGAGAAAGATACATATCCAAATACATCTTATTCACATTATGTTCCTGGTCATATGCATATTTAACCATAGGTTACAGTTACATCTTTCCCTGAACTGGTCTTTCTGGGAATATTGACAGCTCTTCATCATACTGCTTCTTCTTAACTCAAGTTGTTTCATGCATATTATTACAACTCTGTTAGATTTAGAAAACCATACTTATGTGGTCAAGATTCCCTATTTTGGCGCTGGGGTTGTGGAAAGTTTTCCTATTATACAGGTGTTTGTGAGTCAAAAGGACTTACGACACTCACCCCTGTGGACTCAGATCTAACCCCAGGGAGCAGGGGAGGGATGCAGGGATAACCCCAGGGCCTCATCACCCAAAACAACAAGCTATTAATATGAATTCATTTGGTGGACTTTTTTTTTTTTTTTTTTTAACAGAGATAAACAGAGAGAGAGAGAGAAAAATTCTTTTTTTTTTTTTGGTAGATGGACACAACGCAATGCCTTTATTTTTATGTGGTGCCGAGAATTGAACCTGGGTCCCGCCTGTGCTAAGCGAGTGCTCTACCACTGAGCCACAATCCCAGCCCATGGTGGACTTTGATATACAAATAAACCATAATTTGTTTTACAACAAATTAGAAACAACCTCAGTGGTAGAGTGCTTGCCCAGCACATGTGAGGCACTGGGTTCAATTCTCAGTACTGCATTAAATAAGTAAATAAATAAATGAGTAAATAAAGATATGGTGTCCATCTACAACTAAAAATATTTTTTTAAAAAATATTCCCTATTTTGTCTACAATGGGGAAAGAGCACAAGAAAGAAGAGCAAAATGAATGCTGAAGAAGCTGTGCAGAGTATCCCAGCATCCATGCAAGGTAAAGTCATCAATTTGCAGTATTCAAGAAGACCCTGTTAATAAACTGGATCAAAACTAAAAGAGAAGACATCTGGGCTGGGGTTGTGGCTCAGAGGAAGAACACTCACCTAGCATGCATGAGGCACTGGGTTCAATCCTCAGCACCACATAAAAATAAAATAAAGTTATTGGGTCCACCTATAACTAAAAAATAAATATTTAAAAAACAAAAAGAGAGAAGACATCTGAAAATAACAAGTTGGCTCTTTTTCTTTATCCCTACTCTCTACTTAATTCTTTTGGCAGCGTGGCTGAGGACAGCTCTTTGCAGCAGTACTCCTACATAAGCTGCTTCCCTAAATTCACTGCCCACATCTTCCTTGGGTCACAGAACCAATCTTGTTTGAGCCTCCCACAACTCCTCAGCATAGCTGTATGCTCAGGCGCTGTAACCTAGCTCCAGCTCAGTCAGACAAAGCTACGGATGATAGCCCCTTGTCTTTGCCATTTATTAGCTAGAAGAGGGCAAAGGTGATACGGAGAGGACAGGAGAAGAGAAAGACTGATAAAGGGGATTTTAAGGTATCCTTGAGCCACTGAATTATACAATCCAGGACAGACTAGGACAGATTATTATAAGAGAATAACTTTTTCCTTATTACTTAAGTCTTTCAAGTTTTTTTTTTTTTTAAGTTGGTTTTTTGGTTTCTTGCAGCTTCCTAACTCTTAAGAGATTAAGATTCTTTGGAGCAGATTCTTTGCCAACAAATGTGTCATATAATTGTTTTATATGTTATTTTAGAAAAATGTGTTTAAATTCAAAGTAATACACATTATAGCAAAAAAAAACAAAACCCACAAAGAAGGTAAACAAATAATAAAGTCAAGCATGATAAACCAAAACATTACTTTTGCTGTTGTCAATGGCATTGGCTAACTGCGGAATTTTGACAGCTATTTCTTCGTGCTACTTTCCCATCCACGAATGCAAGAAAATTACAAAGTTCTATTCTGCTTCTCAGGGTTGTTAGGAATTTTTAAAAAACAGATAATATACATGTAAACATGAAAAAATTAGGGTAACGGTGTTGCACAAGTGGTATTAAACATGTATGTGCACATTCATTTAAAAACGGTTTTTAAAAAAAGTGGTATATTAGAAAGCAGAATTCAGTAGTTTAATAATGAAATGCTATGTATAAATAATAGTTTATTTAGGGTCAATAAAGTAATAGTCAGTAAAATCTGTCAAACTGTCATTTTCCCATAGAAAAAGGTAAATTTCCATTACCTATATAGCGTGTGGCCTCATCAGTCTCCCCACCAAAAGCTATCTTTTGTCCTTCAAGCAAACTTTGTATCCTCTTAAAATGACGAAGATTGATGATTCTTTCATAATCAGGAGACTCTTTTATGTTTTCTCCATAAAATTCCTATTGAAATAAAAAAAAGCATTTAATTGTCACAAATTCATTTTTCAATTACTCTGAGTTCAAAATCCACTCATGCCTGAAAATCAATCTGGTTTTATATCCTCATAGAATCCAACACTCTACCCCCCAAATATTTAGTAGTAGTATAATAGCAATAAGTTTAAGCTTTTTGGCAGGTTTAGGGTAAGAAATAAAACATACCCCCTAACTGATCTATTATTTTCCATAGTTCCAGTAGGTTCTCTTGCAATCTACCTATGGGCTTCCCCAGGACGATTGTGAAAGCAGGTTTTGGAGAAGAAGTCTTACTGTATTTCGTTGACCTGTATCTTCTCTGGATGACAGTGAAACCACTTGAAGGATCAAAATACAGCTTTGGTAAATACCAAGGTCAAAGAATCACAATAAGCATACAATCAATATTTATTGGGTAAAACAAACCCAAAACTACTGAATTGCTGCATCGCTTCAAAGCCTTGTGAGAGCTCTAGATTTAATCTCAAATAAAATGAACATTATTCACCCACCCTCCACCAAGAGCAACTCTCAAGTCTGAGTGGCAGGAACCACCTAGCAGCTTGCTGAAATGCACGTTCTTGGGCCCAAAGACCATGCCACGAACAGTGGTTTTCAGGGCTGATTGCATCACACAATCACCTAGAGGATCCAGACGATCTGAATCAATCTTTGGAGGATAAGGGCTGAAAATCTATTTTTAAACAGCTCTGTAGTGATTCTAACATGAAGCTCAGTTGAGAAACACTGTGTAAATGTCTCAAAGGAAGACAAAGGGGCCCTATTCCTTTGAAACTGAATTCATCACCATACTCAACAAGCAATTTGCCAATTCCCAATGTTTTCAATCTCATAAGTATCTTCAATTACTCTTCTTCCATCCCATATTCCCTGGTAACTGGCCAACTTTCATGTTCTCCTGGTCTGGATTCATATTTCAGTCCCATTACTAATGTCCATCTTAGCACCTTATCTTACCTCCCTCAACTCCCTGGTATGCAATTTTCCTTCTCTGATCATACATGCCTCTTTGGAATTCTTGATGCTTCCTTCTAGTGTTCAAGTAACACTGGTTGACTGAACAACAATTATTCCAACAATTTCTTTCGGTAAGGGTGCATAGCAACCCCCTCCCACTGCTGAACTCAGTAATATGGGTGAACCCATTGCATTCCACCAACTTAAATCCTACATTTTTCTTTCAAATCTCAGCTCATGATAACACCATGAAGCCTTCCTTAGTTCCCTCATGCAGAACTTTACTTTAAACTTCCTATAAAACTGATAACCATCTAAAGGGTACTCTACAAAGTAGGTATTTGTTTAACTCACTCCCTTTAACCCCAGGCCCTCTACATATACAAAAACTGACAGCCTTAACCAGCAAAGGCCAATATGTCAAAAAGTCTCTGGTTA